CACCCAGAGGAAAGGACGGAAGGGGAAACCCACAAGACGAGGGCCCCTCAGCACACACACACAACACCTTCCGACCGCTTAAACCCTCCACCCACTCACCCCCACCCCCACCCACCGACTCACCCACCCACACCCACCCACCCACGCACCAGCTGCTTCATCTCCCGAACTTTCTGCTCCTTCGCGATCAGCTCCGACTTCACCTGAGTCAGCTCAGCGGCGTCACGCGCACGCAGGCTGAGTTCCTGCGTGCGTGCGCGTGTGCGTGCGTGTGTATGTATGTGTATTGGCGTGTGTGTATATGTGAGGGGGGGAGAGAGGGGAGGGGAGAGTTATTAACAAACAGGATGAGAAAGGGGAGACCCTCTGATCCTTCCCCGCGGGTATTTCGGGGCACCCTCATCTAGTCGCCCTAGCCGACTTCTCAGTGGATCGCTCAGGTTCCGCACCCACCACCAGCATCCAACGGAACCTGCCGGGTCGACGGCGGCCCAACTTCATTCCTGGTCAGCCCGCAAGTCAACTTTATCCCAGGTCACCACCGTCCATCAACTAGGGGCGCAATACCCTCCACCATTGGAAGGATTTTCGACCCTGACAGGTCTCGATCCCGGGATCTCCCGGGCGCAATGGTGCGTGCTCTACCAATAGTGCCTGACCTACGTATGTATGTATGTATGTATGTATATGTGTATGCTTGTGCTAACCCTTTTCGGTTCGATGCCATGGAGCCGCTCTTCGCGCTGCAGGAAACCCTAGCTAACCCACATAACCCTACCCTGAGAGAGAAAAACACTGAGAGAATAACTGTTGCGCATCGCCATGCGGCCCACCCCGGCAGCTACACACAACACACATACATACATACACACACCCCTCCCCCCCTCTTTTCCCCCCCCCGCACACACACACAAACCTGCTTGCTGTACTGCACAATGGACTGCATGGAGGCCACCTGCCCCTCCAGAGCCGACACCTTGGCCTCCCGCTCCGCCAGCAGCATGCGGGCCTCCTTCGACTCCACGGTGAGGAGGGCGACCTGCGTGGGCGCCCCGGGGGGGGGGGATAATTGTTGTTTTGTTGGTGGTTTGGGTGGTCTGGGTGAAAAGAATCCGGATAACCCCGAGGGGGGGGTGGAGTCTTAAGGTCGGGGGGCCAGGGGGCCACATTAAATTGGGTTTGGATTTGTGTGCTGGGGGGAGTGGGGTGGGGTGGGGGAAGACAAATAGATAGACAGACAGACAGACAGACAGGTACAGTACAGAGATGCAGATACGAGATACGGAATACGGAATACAGAAATCAGCTCTCCCACGCCCCTCCCCCCTCCCCTCCCATCCCCCCTCCCCTCCCCCCAACCCCACCTGCGCCTCCAGCTCCCTCAGCATCACCTCCTTGGGTGCCAGATCCGTCATGAGCGCTGTAGCCTCCTGTCCGTATGTATGTATGTATGCATGTACACCAGGCGAATGGGTAGGGGGGTGAGGATTACGGTCGGATACAAAAAACCCCTTTCGTACAAGCGGTGGGTCGAGTAAACCGCAAATGGCCCAAACCCTAAGTATTATACACACATACATATGTAAAGTACACAATACACAATAATACACAATAATATACACAATAACATATATACACATACACACACGCGCACATACACATACACAATAATATATATATATACACATACACACACGCGCTCGCTGCCCGCACCTTCATGTCCTTGGTCGCCAGTAGCTGGTCCTTGCCCTGGCTGATCTGTCGTCGCATCACCACAATCTGGGGATGGGTCGGGTGGGGGGGGAGGGAGGGGGGGAAGGAGGGAGGCGGGGGGGGGGTTGAGGGGTTTGAGGGATTTGAGAGGGGGTTGGGGTGAAAACCCACATCCACACACACACAACATCTGGAGTACCCATCCCCCGGCCCCCCCATTTCCCCCCCCACGCACGCACACACACGCACACCTGCTTCTCCAGCTCCGCCATCATCTTCTCCTTGGCCTCGATGGACTCGCGAGCCCGCGCCACCTCGCTCTCCAGCTGCGCGGCCGCGGCCTGGGACTCATTCACACTGGCGCGGAGCTCGTCCTCCCGAGACCTGCGAACAGGGGGGACCCCAAGGGGGGAGGGGGGGGAAGGGGGAGGGGTAACACGAGCCGCTGGGGTGACATGACGCAAATACCAGATGGATGGGGAGGGGAGAGTATGATAGGGAGGGGGAGAAGGAGTACAGACAGACAAACAGATCTGGGCAGCGGGGCGTGTTCGCGGGCCTCGTGGACCCAATAGAGAGAGAAAGAGACGAGGAGGACATAGCACAGGTCAGGACACAAAAACACACACGTACACGGAGACACACGCACACCAGGACGTAACCCCCCCTCACTAATCACGGCCCCCCACGCATACACACACACCCTCCCCCGTGTAGAAGATTGTGTTTTGTCGTTGACTGACCTGACCACCTCATTTCCCAACCACACACCCCCACCCACCCAACTCCTCCGCTTCGCCTGCTAGCATTTCTCGTCTTTACCCCCCCTCCCGCCCTCGCTCCTTTCCAAGCCCCGGCCAGGACATCCCCCTCCCTCCACCACCGTCTCACTTGGCCGCTAGCAGCACCGCCTCCTTCTCCTCCTTGAGTTCATCCACCTGCGGCAAGAGGGGGAAGGGGGGAGGGTGGTAAGACGAATCACTCTGACGATGAAAGCTGAATACAGGAGATAAGCGGGAGGTGGGGAAAGGGGAGGGAGGAGCTAGCGTGCGTGCGTGTGTGTGTGTGTAAAGTGGGGGGCCCAACATGAGCTCCAGCTCCCCCTCCCCCCTCTGAGCCGCCCTCCCTCAACCACCATCTTCGGGGTTCAACTACCAACCGCCCAACCAGCAGCTCTTTTCCCCCCTAACCTCAAAACCTCTGCCCCGTACTTCCCCCCGTCTTACCCACCCACCCCCGCCCCTCGCATGCCCTCTTCCCCCCCCC